GCTTTATTTTTGATGTGACTTTTGAAGTTACATTGGTAGAAGATTTTAATCTGTAACTTTATAACAAGTTTAAAGATTAAGTAAAGTTTGAAAATTAAGTTAAAATGATCTGGTTTGCATACTTATCTAAAGAATTTCCTTTGCAAGTGAGGTTGTACAGTGGTTTATTATACAAGTTTGCAGATGAAAAAGGAATGCTGATAGGATTTTTAAAACCAAAGATCAACAGTTAAAAGCACTGGGTGCTCTTGCAGAGGACCTGAGTTCAGTTCTCAGCACCCACAACCTCCTGTTACTCCAGCTCCAGGGGATCTGACACTCCCACTCCTGGCCTCTGTGGGCACTGCAATCACATGGTATCCATACATCATGAAGGCAAAACACTCATACACATAAAAAAAATTCAAAAAAACAACAGCGTTCACAAAGGTTTAAGGCTTATGGTTTTTAATTGGTTTATTATGCATATGAGTGTTATGCTTGCATGTATGTAAGCACACCCGTGTCATACAGTGCCCGCAGAGGACAAAAGAGGTTATTGGATCCTCTGGAACTAAAGTTACAGACAGTTGTTAGCTGCCATGTGGGTGCTGGGATTCAAACCCAGGTCTTCTGCAAGAACAGCCAGTGCTCTTAACCACTAAGCCATCTCTCCAGCCCCTATGGCCTATGTTTTGACTATAAGTATGGTTCTTGTTTGATCAGTCTTTCAGGGAGTCTTGTAGAATTTTGATCAGTTGTGTTGAAATTCTTGACTCTCAGTAGGTGATACTTAAACCAGAGGTGGGAAGTTTTCTTTCTTATGTGTCTTTAATTTTCCCTTTGCTTTCTGTTCTTCCTTATTAGCATCCATGTCTGCAAGGGGTTTTAGAAGCTACATGTCAAAAACAAAGGCAGGTATAAAGTATATGCATACTATCTAATTTTGGAATGTTAATGGACTATCCAAGTAACATCAGACCACTTCCCACCCCCTGTTGCTCCTCCCTCTCCAAACCAGCCCCCTTTCCCTGACTTAGCAAGTCTCTAAGTGTTGTAGACACAGGTCCTTCAGGGAGAACATCCAATACTTATGCTGTAATTAAAAGTGCCATCCAGTGGCAAAAAGACAGCAATGGAAGTCAGGACTCACTGGTGTCAGTGGTGTTTTTTTTTTTATTATGGTACAGGACTGTGAGTAGAGAAGCTTTCCTATTGCATGAGTTTTATTGTCCTGGTCCCTGGCCCTTAGTAGGACACCTGACTGAAGTGGTCACTGACATGAAGCATGATAGGAGCAGTAATTTTCTGCTGCATTGGCAGACTCCTGAACACCCAGTATTGGAGAGGAGGAGGGCCCTACTCTGGAATACTCCCAGGAGTCATTACAACATCTTGTCAGTAAGACATTTAGTCAACATGATGAATTAAAATTTTTCTTTATAGCCAGGCGTGGTAGCATACACCTTTAATCCCAGTAATCCCAGTGGGAGGCAGAGGCAAGCAGATCTCTGTGAGTTCAAGGCTAGCCTGGTCTACGTAGTGAGTTTTAGACCAAACTCACTACAGGGAGACCCTGTCTCAAAAAGACCAAAAGGAAAACCCATTCTTTCTAATCAAATTTGGTAGAAATTACTTACATTATAACAAAATCCTGCATCCAAGTATCATTCTTTTCTAATATAATTAAAATCTGACTTAGTTTATGAAAATTCCATTTTCATATAATTTTGATTATTTTACAAAAATTAGTACCTCTGTTAGAAAGTCCTTCCTTCCTTTTTTCCTTCCTTCCTTCCTTCCTGCCTTCCTTCCTTCCTTCCTTCCTTCCTCCTCTTCCTCCTCCACTTCCTCCTGCCTCCTACCTCTTTTTGAGACAGTACCTCCCTGTGTAGCCAGGCTAACCCTTTCCTGCCTCCTAGAGTACTGGGATTGCAGATGTATGGCACCACACCCAGCTTGCAGCATTTTCTTAATCTTAAATTACAGTAGTAATTAGAAAAATTAATTCGTGCTTCTCCCAATGAATTTTAAAATGTATATGAAATTCACAAAAATAAAATTTTTTTAAAAGACATGTAAGCCACAGACCAACCCCATGTCTCCCCCCCCACACCAAAGTGTGACAGTAGAGAAGATAAATCAAGATTCTTTTTTTGTTGCTGGTTTGATATATATTCTTTCATTTGTCTATGCATTTATAGATGTGTATTTAAAATATTTGTTTATGTATGTACAAACAGTATTTTAGGACTCTGTGATCCGTATTAATTACTTTTTGTTGGTTGGAAATCTGACTATATCTTTTTTTTAGTATTTTATTTATTATTTTTATTTTTATGTATTGCCTGCATGTATGTGAGTGCATCCATATTGTGCAATGCCTGCAAGGACAGAAGAGGCCATCGGATCCCCTGGAACTGGAGTTACAGACAGTTGTTAGCTTCCATGTGGGTACTGGGATTCGAACTCAGGTCTTCTGCAAGAACAACCAGTGTTCTTAACCGCTGAGCCATCTCTCCAGTCTGGAAATCTGACTATATCTTATACTACCAGAAACTTTTGAAGACTTTTTTGGAAAGCAGAAGTTCATTTGGTGGTATTGGCAAATATGATTTGGTATACTATACTGACTGAAAATTAAAGGCTAATTCTTCCTGGCCCAGCTGGTAAATTACAGTATAGAGTGCCTATGAACAGGAATTCTCTGATGCTGAGAAGATAGAAGGTTTGCTTACACAGTCCAGTGTTTTTAAGAGACTTGAAGGCAGGAGGTGAAATTCTGACCTTGATTCCATTGAGGAGATTGGAAGTACTGATTTATGATTCATGGAGAATTATGGTGCTGCAGGTAGAGGAGTGATTGGTCTTCAGGTTGTGACATGTGGTGTTGGAAGCTGACCAGAACTGAAGTGATCTGGTTCTTAGGGAAGGGCTGGCCAGGGCAGAAAGTAGGGAAGGTGAGAGGCAGGTAGGGAAGAACATATTCTATGTCTACAACTGTGACTGCTCTGGTTAGACTCAATAGGAATGCAATGAAAGTGGATCTTTGAGTTGTGAACCAGAGAGAATGTAATTGCAGTGCCTTTGAAGGTCAAGCTGAGGAAGTTGAACTATTTGATAAACATATAGGCACTCAAAGTCTTAAGTAAATTGAAAATGAAATTCCTGTTTCCTAGAATAATTGTTCTGTTAGCTAAATTTAGTAGTTGAGAAACCAGGCAAGGAGAGGCCTTCAGGGGAAACAGCTATGGACAGTCAAACATCAAAGGACAAATGTATCTAGAAGTTAGGTAGACTGCAGAGATGTTATTTGGTGTTCGCTCTGAAATTACAGAAGAAGGAGCACATCTGTACTGCAGAAGTTCCTATGTCAGCAAGCTTAAGGTGCTCAGTGTTTGCCTTTTGTTCTGTCTGTTGCCACTAGTGGTTGGCTGACTAAGGGGAAAGATAGAATGGGAGACGGCCTCACAATAAATTGAGAGTGATCAATGAGAAATACCTGCTTTGATGTTTTGCCTGCAACTTGCCATCCCACTCCTGATCTGGCTTTTAAAGTGTTGAGCTACTTTACAGTAATGTAAAGAAATAGCAAAGTACTGATTTCAGATGAATTTATTTTGTGACCTAATATAGTAAGTCTAACAAGCCTATCCACTCCCCTTACTGTAATCAGTAAATTTCCTCATTTTGCACCCTTGTTCTACCTGGGTTAAAATTTGCCTCTCAGTGGTGACAAAGCATGTCCTCTGAAGTTAAGCAATCATGTGTAGCAGTCCTCTGACTCTGGTTCTTTGACTTCTTGGTACTGTCTTCCCAACTTCTAAGCCATTGTCTTAATTGTGGAAGATTTTGCTCTCCCCACTCCATGAATGCATGCTGTCCTAATTGAGAAACAGCTTGTTTCCATTCACTCCATCCTGTCTCATGGTTCAAGCAAATTATATTCCTAACGTGTGGTGCATGGGAATAAGGCCTGCTTAGGCTGGCTTGTGAACACAAGGGCACCAATAACACAGTGCCACTACCACTGCTTGCTTTCTTCCTCTCCTGAGGGGAGCAATCTCTCCAGAACTTTTGAGAGCTGGTGTAGCTGTGATCAGTGTCTTGACAGTAACCTGTCTTCGATCAGGTATTATCCCCTGTTAGGCCCCATTTCTCATTAGAGTTGGATCTCAGAGAAACCCCTGTTCTCCAATGAGACTATATCCCACTTAGCTTCTGGTCCTCTGCCTGATCCACCTTCCTTCACCTAGAGGGCAGGTAGGGGCTTGGATTGTTGTAACTCAGGAAAGTTCTGTACATCAGAATCTTCTGTTACCATTGCAAACTCTCCTGTGATCCTCTGTACCTCCAAACCAAAAACATGTTTTTACAGTATTAGCATAGCCTGTGTGCTCTTCTCTGAAAGCTCCCATATGGCCCAAAACAGCACTAGTTACTTTGCAAGGATGTTGTAGTTTAGCTGCAACAACAGAGAAAATATTCTGCACCTATTATCTAAGTATGTTTCTTTTTGCCTTTTCACTTACTTTTATAATATATCGGCCTTACCTGTAGAGAACTATGATCACAGTATGCATTGTGGAGAGGACCCTTACATAGCAGTTAGCTGGCTAGGTCTGAAAGAGGAAAGCAAAAGGGAAAGATGGATTTTAAAGGCTCTTAGTCTAGATTTCTAGCAGAATGATGGCAATGCTAATGTTCTTTTAAAAGGAAGAAGCCATTTCTCTATTCTAATGTTTCAGATGCCAGAAAACTATCCCTTGGGTGGTGAGAGGCGGAGAAGGCTCTGGTGGCATTTGCTGGCCCTTAATCCTTCTGCCTCCAAGTTCTGAGAATGTTCCAAATCAAATGCCACACATTTCATCTCCCTTCTCTGAGACTATGTTCAAGAGCATCCGAGCAGAGTGTTTTAAAGATGCATTCTATAAATATGGTATGCACAGTAATAGCCTGCGGATCATTTTGTTTATGATTGTCAGGAGTCAATAAGTCATGTATGTGTTTTTTTCTCTTAGGTTCATTTTCCAGACACTGAAAGAGCAGAATGGCTAAATAAGGTAAGATTAGAGTATTCCAAATATTCAGTGGGAATTAGAGGGTAAGAGACCATCTTCCCGTATTTGGGGATTTCGGTGTTGGCAGTATTGGAGTTCAGATTGCAGGGAACTGACTTCTACTCCCTAGAGGACTGTTAGAAGAAATATGCAGCTTTCCCTTCTGAAGAGAGCAAGAGCTGTGTCCTGACCTAAGAAAATTTGCATGGTCACATGATATCACTATCTGGCCTTGTGCCTTCTTTTCTGAATGGAGGCTGCTCATATCTGTTTTATAGAAATTACAAGCAGAAATTCTGGAAACATTATGAAGAGAGAAACAACCTCAAGAAACCTACCAATCTATAATATGTTTTTTTAAAGATACATTTTGGGTTCAGTAAACCTTAGGCTGACTCTCTTTTACCTTCTGTGTTCTGAACATCTCTAGGGTAATCACTAGACAGTCAGTCCCCCTGTAGCACTACACATCAGTCTGTCACTATGAAATTCGTAGGTGCCTATTGATCTCCAGACAGTTTTTGGTTTGGTTGGGTTGGGTTACAGTACTGAGGATCAAACTGAGGGCCTGGCACACACGAGGCAGGTGCCCTGTCCCTGAGCTACATACACACCCAGCCCAAGGTCTATATAGTTTAAGTTTCCCAAAGTCAGTTGAAGCCACAAGACCTTCAGTGAAAGTTTAAACAGAATAGTTAACTAAAAGAGCTAATTCCTGTAACATAGTGGGTAATCAGCAGTTTATTGCTATAAGAAAAATTTCAAGTTTAGAACAAACTTTACATGACTGATTTTGAATAACAAGAAGACCATTTCCCTTTGTGTTTTTTCAAAACAAGACTCTAATAAATTACAAATTACAGTTTTTTTCTTGGTGATTGAAGTATATTAGGTATCATTATGATAGCAGTTATTTACCATGAGTTCTTTTTCCTTCCAGACTGTAAAGCACATGTGGCCATTTATTTGTCAATTTATAGAGAAGCTCTTTCGAGAAACCATAGAGCCAGCTGTGCGGGGAGCAAATACCCACCTCAGCACCTTCAGCTTCACAAAGGTGGACATGGGTCAACAGGTCAGTTCCTTCGTTGCCTTTGCTTATACACACAGTAGGAGTGCTGTGAAAGCATAACAACACTGTCAGCACTCTGCACATTCTAGAGGAAATTGTTCACCAAGAAGACCAAGTAACAGGTCTATGACTCCCTCTCCCTACAGTGTACTCTGACTTCCTTTTTATTGGGAAGTGGGCATATTGCCTTACTCTTACTGTGCTGCTCTGGCTGGTTCACCCATCACTTCAAAGTTTCTCTTTAGCATTTATTTCACCTTCCATGACTTATCTTTTTACCCTAGGGTTCTCAGAGAGCTCAGAAGTACAGTCTGTCATGTTTAGAGAGATTGAGCTGTGAATTCATACTAAAGACCGTCCCATCAAGGTATTAAAACAACAGCTAATGACACTGATACTGGATTGTAGGACACATTCATTACATGGGTGAAAGGAAAGAGGTGATAGAATCATCTCATATACAGAGGAAAGAAGTTACACATTGGTAGTGTTATTTCATATTCTTCCTCCTCTTCTTTTTGTTTTGTTTTGCTTTCCTTTTGTTTTGCTTTTGTAACTCTCGGTATTTGCAGAGACCCTCTGCAGCAGCCAGTGGGTCACTTCTGTTTCCCCTTAGTAAGGAAGCACACCCACAGAAGGTCTGTCACCAGGAGCCTGTTTTCTGGATTTAGATGCTGCATTTAAAAGACACCATTTCTGAGTTTTTATTTTGTTTTCTTATCTTTTTGTTTTTCCATTCTAATTTTATCTTATTCTTTCATTTTTCTCTTTTTCTTTCTTTATTTTTTCCTCTTGAGAATGGCTCTCCTTCTCGTAGCACAAGCTGGCCCCAAAGTTACTGCATAGCTAAGGATGACCTTGAAGTTCTGATCCTCCTGCTTCCACCTCCTAGGTACTGTAAAAATATTTTATTATTTTTATTTTATGTATATGAGCATGTTACCTGCATGTATATGGGTGCATCTGTGTCGTGCAATGCCACGGAGGTCAGAAGAGGGCTTCAGATTCCCCTGGAACTGGAGTTAAGGACGGTTGTAGCTGCCATGTGGGTGCCGGGAATTGAACCCGGATCCTCTGGAAGAGCAGTCAGGATTCTTAACCTCTGAGCCATCTCTCCAGCCCCTATTTTACTTTTTTTTTTATCTTGGCAATTTTAAATACAAATTCCTAGCTATAACAAGCATTACTCCACTTAACAATAGTTTTGCCTCTAGATTTCATGCAGTATTATGCCATTCTTATTTTTACAGTGTTTTCATTGCATGTCTGTTATTGAACAACTTTTATTTCTATATACTTAAACTGTATCATTGATTTTTGTCCAAACCCTTTAATTTTCAACTTTACCTAAAGGTTGGATGTGAAATCATTTCTCAGTACATATTTATTATAGAAGATTTAATACTTTTTTTTATCCTAGAACTTAACTATGGAGATCAGGCTGGCCTTGAACTCACAGAGGTCTGCCTTTCTCTGCCTCCCAGGTTTTGGGATTAAAGACATGCACCACTACGCCCAGCTGAAAATTTTAACTTAATAAATTCTACTATATGCTCATTACTTTGAGAAAACATGCTTTTTGCATTTATATATACTTTTATTATTTTTGACAGTTTCATGCTTGTGTACAATATATGGAACCATACCCACTGCCTCACCTTCTCTTATCTCCCTCCCACTACTGCTGCCCTGTTCCTCCCAACTAGTCCCCATCCTCTTTTCATGTTTTTGTCTCAGAGGGGGAAGGGGGAACAAAAAGAGAGAGAGAAAGAGAGGGGTCTATTTTTGGCTTTGAGACAGGGTCTTGCCCCATAGCCCAAGCTGTCCTTGAACTTGTAATCCCCCTACCTCAGCCTCCTAAGTGCAGAATTAGAGGCAAGCACCACCACTCCAGCTGTTTTCTAAGTTAGCTTTTACAAGAGTTAGCAACAACTCAAGGTAACATTGTTTTATATTTTTGATAAGAATTTAGAGTCTAGTTGTACTTTTAAACACACACACACACACACACACACACACACACACACACAGAGTTCACCCATGTCATTGAACAAATAGCACACAAGTGTCCTGTATACTACAGTTCAGAGCTTTACCTGATATAGCCAAAGGAATGACTCACAAGTGACTTCATGTGCCACCTGCTGGCTCTGTCCATGTCTTTCCTGTGTTCTGTTAGTCACTTTTCTCCATCAAACCTGATTTTCTATATGTGGGGAATCCTGTCTCTTCTGCAGCTATTCTGCAGTTATAGTGTTTCTAGAGCAGACTTACGTGGCTCTTCCCTGTATGTGCTGACTGTTTCCCTTAGCTTTGGTCTCCAACTCAAGAAGTTGTTCAACAAGAACAACTATTCAGATGGCCAAGTACTTGGACAGGACACCCATGTAACACATGTGTAAGGTAATGTTTACTTTACCTTCCATAACTTGGAATCCAAGTTAAAATACCATAAAGGAGGTGTCATAAACTCTCTGTAAATGGCTGGTTAGTATAGTAGATATTTTAACTTTTGACAGCATTTTCTTCTCCTGCTTTGTTCTCTTTTTCATTATCCTTTAAACAGTGAAAACCAGTGCTTATGCCAGAACTTTATAAAATAGACCAAAGGACAAATACAGCCTGCAGCTACAGTTTGCTGTCCTCTAATGGAAAATGCTCCTATTTGTGGAGATACAAAATTCTGACCCCTGCTGGGCTTATTTGGGGAGGAGTTTCATGATTTTCTTGTTCGGTTACATGTACTGTTAGTTGGATACCAAACTAAATAAGAAGATCCTTCAAGAACAGTGGATGGTAGTAGAGTGCTGCTGCAGTCTAGACAGCTTCTCATGACCACTGCCCTCTGACAAGCAGCTGTAAGCACCAAATGCAGCATGCAGAATGTGCAGGGTGCCTAGTTGTGCATGAGGTCACCTCGGTCTTTGAGTGCGATGGCCTTCTCTTAGATGAGGAGGGGGATGTGTTCCCTGATGCACCTTCTTAAAGTAAGGACAGCCATTCTTGAATGCCCTATTTCCACTTATCCAGAGGATATGCTGGTTGTGTCTGGGTAGTTACCAAAAGTTCAGCTAGTATATTGACTCTCAAAGCAGAATTTTAATTCCTAAAGTCTAGTGCTAAGCTTGTTTTTGTCACTTATGTGCAAGGCTTGTTTGTTTGCTTTGAAGCCTTTCCCTGTTTTAAATTAAGCTATTTTTTGTTGTAGCCCCTCAGAGTCAATGGTGTTAAAGTTTATACAGAAAATGTAGACAAAAGACAAATTATTCTGGACCTTCAGATTAGGTAAGTTTTTGTGTTATATTTGTGTCATGGTTACTGGCAGGTAGTGTCACTCACCTGTATACATAAGGTGGAGGATATAATGAGCTTCTTACCTACTGCTCATTGGAATTTGACTAAATTCTTCCAGATCCAAATGTTATTAAGATTAATAACCAGTCTGAGTTCCCAGTGGCATACATAATCATCATTCATAAAATGTTATTAAATAAAAGAGATTAAGTGCACTACAAGAAAGCTATAGTCCATTAAATATCTATTATGAACCTTGTATAAAAAAATTTCAACAAAATATTAGCAAATTGAATCCAGTAGCATATTAACTGGATTATATCTTATCAACAAATAGAAATTTATTACCAGACTACAAATACAATTCAACATCTGAAAACCAATCGATGTAATATACCAATTACTTAAAGAAGGAAGGTGGGAAAAAAAAAACCTATATAGTTATCTCAGTTCATACAGATGATAGATACATTTAACAAAATCCAGTATTCTGCTGGACATGGTAGCACATGCCTTTAATTCCAGCATTCAGGAGGTAGAGGCAGGCAGATCTCAATCTCTATAAGATTGAGGCCAGCCTGGTCTACATAGTAAGTTCTAGGCCAGCTAGGGCTACATAGTAAGACCCTATCTCTAAATAAATAAATAAATAAATTTATATCTGGGCCTAGAGAGATGATTCAGCAGTTAAGAGCACTGGCTGCTCTTCCAGAGGACTCAAGTTCAATTCCCTGCACCCACATGACAGCTAACTACTGTCTATAATTCCAGTTCCAGGGGAATTTGATGCCCTCTTCTGACCTCTGCAGCCATTGCACAACACAGGTGCACTTAAATAAGTTCAAGCAATATACTCATACACAAAAAATAAAAATAAATAAAATATGTTTTAATCCAGTATTATTTTGTGATTAAAGAAAAAGTTCAGCCCAGAGCAGTTAGACAAGACAATGAAAAAATCAAAGAAGAAGAATCCAAGTTGGAAAGGAAGAAGTAAAATTACTTCTGTTTACAAATAAGATCTTACATAGAGAAAACCATTAAAATCCCACAAAACCTTTTTAACTAATAAATGAATTCAGCAAAGTAACAGAATAAAAAGTTAACACGTAAACATCAGTTGTGTTTCTGTACACTAACAATGAAGAATCCTAAAAGGAAATTAAGAATATTTCATTCATAATAAATTTAATAGACAGCTCAGTTTCTTTGTTCAATCCCCTGCAACCATTAAAAAGCCAAGCATGGTGGTATGTTTGCAATCCCAGCACTGGAGAGCTGGATCCAGAGGGATCTCTGGGCTTGCTAATCAGCCAGCCTAGCTTAATTGGTGAGCTTTAAGTCCTAGTGCGAGATTGTCTCAAAAAAAAAGACAGATGACTTCTGAGGAATAACACCTGAGATTGACCTTTGACCTCCACGTGCATGCACACACCCCAGCATACACACAGACACATACAACTTTATACACACGAAAGAATAAACTAAAGAAGTAAAAGGCTTGGATAATGAAAATAGTAAAACATTATTGAAAGTAAAGATAACATAAAAGATAATCAATGCTTATGGATTATAAAACTTAATATTTATTATTAAAATGTCAGTACTACCCAGAGCAACCTACAGATTAATGCAATCCCCATAATCATAAATTTGATAATTGATTAATATCTAGAATATAGAGAATTCTCAGAACTCAAAAAAAACAACAACTATTCCAAGATGGATGAAGGGCTTCAATAGATACTTCTCCAGGGATAATGATATGCAAATGGACAATATGCACATGAAAAAAGACTCAACATCCTAATCATTATGAAATGCAAACTAAAACCACATTCATTAGAATGATTATTGCCAACAAAGCAGAAAATACCAGAGTTAGGATGTGGGGAAATTAGAGCCCTCTGCACTATTGATGGGAATGGATAATGGCACAACTGCCTTGGAAAACAGATTGACAGTTTCTCAGAGGCTTTAAAATAAAATCACTATAGGATCTAGCAATTCTTCTCTATTGTCTTAGACCATTTTCTGTTATAACAAAAAATCTAAGACTGGGTGATTTGTATAGAATAGAGGTTTATTTTAGCTCACAATTCTAGAGGCTATCAAATTCAAGATTGGTGGCTACATAAGCCCTTGTGCCATTTCAACTTGTGATAGAAAATGGAAAGGCTAGCACAAGTGTGTGCACAGAAGAGAGAAAACATGAAAGGGATTGACCTTGCAAGACTTCCTCTCACGGGGCTAGAGAGATGATGGCTCAGCAGTTAAGAGCACTGATTGCTCTTGCAGACGACCCCAGTTGGACTCCCAGCCACCCATGGGTTTGACTCCTAGCACCCACATGATAGCTAACTACTGTCTGTAACTCCAGTTCCAGTGGAATCCAGCATTCTCTGCTGACTTCCTCAAGCATTTCATGATACGGGTGCACTTACATACATGCAGGCAATACATTCATACACATAAAATAAAAATAATAAATAAAATATTTTTTTAAAAGACTTCCTCTCATGGTAGCTAATTTATTTCATTGAAAACAAGAACTCACCTAAGAAAGGCATTAATCTATCCATAGACCCAAAGACTTTATCTCAAAGACTCAAAGACCTTCCCAGCACTGCAACACTGATGAACTAAGGTTCTAACTCATGAACTTTTGGAAGACATGCTCAAGATATTTCCAAAAGAACTGCACAGGATCTGGAGAGATGCCTTGGTGGTTAAAAATATTGGCCACTCTTGCAGAGAAACTTAGTTCAATTCTCAGCACCCACAGCTGACAACTCCAGCTCTTGTAACTCTAGCTCTTCTGACCTCCTTAGGCATTGCATGATACAGGTACACTTACAGCGTCAGCTTCTCAAATGTTGGATATTTAAATTTAGTTAAAAGTTTTATGTGTAAGCTGGGCATGGTGGCATATGCCTGTAGTCCCAGCACTTGGGAGGCAGAGGCAGGAGGATCTCTGTGAGTTCAAGGCCAGCCTAGTGAGTTCCAGGACGACCCCTGAATCTAGCTCCTATTTGAGGAAAAAAAAAAAAAAAAAAAAAAAAGTTTTATGTGTAGCAAAAGAAAGTATTATGCACAGTATTCCTCACAGATGTTCTAGTAGTGTTGAACCAGGTAGCAGTGTGTGCCTACAACTTAGAGCAGCAAAGCAGTACTACAGTATAGGCCACATTTTTCAGGTTTTGCCTAGAGTCTGGTTATGGTTGCTTTATTGTCATTTTATTCAGATTATGTACCTTGTAGTTCCTAATCTTAATAGGTAACTAAAAGAACACTTAATTCCACTCACTTTATGTAATTCAGAATTTTTCTCTCCTAGTTTTGTAGGAAATTGTGAGATTGATTTGGAGATCAAACGATATTTTTGTAGAGCTGGTGTGAAAAGTATTCAGGTAAGATTCTTAGATTTTCATTTTAGAGTTTTCTAGGTTATATTCAGAAAGAAAACTGGAGTTTTGCTGGGTAGTTTTTTAAAGTAAATTTGTACTTGTGGTTATAGTTGGGTAATGCATGAAGTCACATGCCTAAACGTCACCAAGTGTCTCTGAAGAGCTGTATTTTCTGACTTGTGGTTTCCCGTCTGAGTTCAGATCCATGGCACTATGCGGGTGATCCTGGAGCCGCTGATTGGAGACATGCCTTTAGTTGGAGCTTTGTCCGTCTTCTTCCTTAGGAAGCCAGTAAGAACACATTTATGTTATAATGTCACGTCTACCTTCCCACTCTTGGCAAGAAAAATGGGCACACAGATGGATAAAGGAACAAAACCCTGCCCTTAACGCTTCTCTTCTGATGCATGAGTTTTTCACCTGTTTATGCCTTAAGTAAGGGTTTCATTTCTTGGTAAACAATAGACAAAATGTCTTTGTAGAAAGTTTAGGAAAACTACTTTTAATTATATAAATTATAGCTAACATTTCACCTATCTCTAATATGATTTTATATATTTGCTTATTTAATCCTCAGAGTTCAGTATTGTTTCCTTTTACTGTCCGGGAACTGAGATTGAGAGGTTTATTTGTGCAAATCACACAAGGTAATAAGTATTGGAGCTTTCACATAGACCCAGAGTAGTCTGATACAGAATTCATACTCCTAAACACTCTAAGGCAATGCTACACCTACAGGTCTCCCTGACTCCCCTTCTGAAATGAGTGCTATTACCTTTCAGGTGCATTTCCTTTCATTCTTTAGGGTATGTTTGTTGAACTACACACATAACTTTGTGTTTGTGCTTTTAAATAGAATAAAGACTTTTAGATTGATCTAATACTTAGATAAGCACAGTACTGTCATTTCACATTATTAGATAGGTATTTGCTTTTTCGGTTGTGAACCTCAGCTCAAAAACAAAAAACATGAAGCTCCTCCCCCTCCCCCTCCCTCCCCCCCTCTCCCCTTCCTTCCTCCCTTCCTTCCTTTCCTTTCTTTTCTTTCCTTTTTTTTGAGACAGGATCTCCCTGTAGCCTCTGTTGGCCTGGAACTCACCTCCATCTCACAGAGATCTGCCTGCCTCTGCCTCCCCAGTGCTGAGGTTAAAGGAATGTGCTACCATACCTGGCACAAAGCCATTTCTTATTCCTCCCAGATGGCTCCTTCTTACCTGGGCTCCTGCAGCCGGTGATTAACGCTGCCTTCAGTGCCATAGGCATTGGGACAGTCTTTCCCCTGCACAAACTGACCCCTTAGGGTTATTTTGATATTCTAGACAAGATCATGGTGTATCTTTTGTGTATGTGTGCTGCAGAGGACTGAACCAGGACCTTGTGTATTAGGCAAACTCTGCCACTGAGCTGTACTTCCTGCCTGGGATCTCTCTCTAGCCTCATTTCTCTACTGCCTCATCCCAATCACAGGGAATGAATGGTTTTAAAAAAAAAAATACTCACCTTCTCTTCTACTTCTCCCTGTGTATTTTCCTTTGCCCCAGAATGCTTTTTGAGCCCTGTTTTTTTTTTTTTCACTTATTTCTAGCAGATTTTCTTTCTCTCAAGAGAAATACCCATTGTAGTTGAAAGTTGCAAAGCAGAAGCAGTTAGTGCTAAAGTGAAGGGCACATATGCCTCCAGAGCCCAGGGAGTGCCTAGGTAGCTGGCCCTCAGGGTACTGTTTGTGATCCTTGGCAAGTCCGGTGAGGTGCCACATCATGTGTAGTTTAATTTGTCTAACATTAATTTGTCTAACTTGGCTCAAAAGACTTTAATGAAAAGTATTACTTGGTTTTGAAAATATAGATTTACCTAAAGTGTAATATGAGTAGTGCTTTTCTGCATAAAAACACAAGGTATTATGTCCCCACTTTCTGTTGCCTCCATTTTATTCTCACTTGCTTATTTTTAATGCATTTAAGTAGAATATAGTAAAAATTTAAAAACTCAGGGAATATCTATGTCAGTTTTTACTTTATTAAAATATTGGGAAATAAATCCATAAAACATTTAAAATACATTTTCTCCTAACAGGTTTTTTGTTTTGTTTTTTTGTTTTTTGTTTTTTTTTGGTCATTTTGAGACAGGGTCTCCCTGTAGCCCCAGCTGGCCTGGAACTCACTATGTAGACCAGGCTGGCCTTGAACTCACAGGGATCCGCCTGCTCTGCCTCCTGAGTGCTGGATTAAAGGCGTGTGCCACCACGCCCCGCCTAACAGTTTTTTAAACGCCAGTTTATATAAGAAGTGACTTCATTAATGACTTTAAAAATATATAATAAATTGCTAAAAATTTTTATTTCTCTGTCTTTGGAGACATTTCTTAATAATATAAAGACACCCCCCCCAGTAACAAAAATGAAAACCTTTTAGTCTTCCTCAAAACATAGCAAAACCATAGTGTGGCTTTTCTACAGATGAACTCACTTATAAAATAACTTATGGAATTAACTTCCAAAGGACATTTGAGGCCTGGAGGAGAAGAATGAGCTTGAAATGCTCAGCATTACCCGTTTCCTTATATGGTGAGTAAAGCCACTGAACATGCTTCAAAGAGAAGGGAATTCTTACAGTCACTTTCAGCTGGAAAATATGAGAACACATTTACTGTTAGTTACCAAATAATTCTTCCTGACCTTCATGAAAAATACAGCCAGAGAATTTTTTTGTTTTGTTTTACTATTTCTTTCTACTGCCCAGATGATTCAGAAGTAGAGTGCCTGAAATGTGTATGAAAATTTACTTGTTTTTCTACTTGTTGATTTGTTTTATTATATGGAGTTCTTGTGGAGTAAACACTAAGAATTCTTGACATGGTTAAATTTAAGCCAAGGTTAGACCCAAGGGGTAATCTGTGTGGAGTGCTAGTATGTGGAGGTGTGCTGGTGTGTGGAGTGCTGGTGGACTGCACTTTGGATACTAGGGAAGAGCAGTGCAGTGTGATGCTTGATTGGCCACCTTAGTATGCATAGTTTCCACTCCTCCTTTCCTCTTGCTATGCGCTTTGAACAAAGTTGTTTTTTTTTTTGGTCCTTTTGAGACAGGGTCTCCCTGTAGCCCCAGCTGTCCTGGAACTCATTATGTAGACCAGGCTGGCCTTAAACTCACAGAGATCTGCCAGTCTCTGCCTCCCAAGTGCTGGGATTAAAGGTATGCGCCACCACGCCCAGCCTGAACAAAATATTTCATTTCTCTAAGTCTCAGTCTCCCTGTAACGCAGTCTCCCTATAACACAGGAACGACACTAATGCCTAATTTACAATTAAATGTGAATATTAAATATCAGTACTCTTAAATGCTTAGTACAATGACTGGCACATAGATAGTAAGCCTTTTAAGTTTTTAAGAAATTAAATACATACAGGTTTAGCATTTTAATGAAATTCTGACACTAGGATGATGCTAGTGTAAGGAGAAAAGTATGTGTTACTATTCTGAGAAGGGTTAGGAGTGTAGCTCAGTGTAGAGTCCTGGCCTAGTAAGCCAGGCCCTGGGTTTGATCCCTAGGAGTGAAAAAACATTTCTGATAAGAACCAAAAGGAGAGCCGGAGAGAGTGCTCTGTCAGTGAAGGGCCTGCTATGCAAGCACGAGGACCTGATCTCAGATCCCCAGCACCCACATAAAAAGCCACACATGGCAGCATACGAGTTAGGGAGGATCCCAGAGCCCATGCCTAGCCAGTCTAGCAAATTGAGCCTGTGTTCCGTGACAGATGCTGATTCTAAAGTGAAGAATGATACAGGAAGATATCCAATGTTGACTCTGGCTTCCACATGCATGAGCACACATGCAGATGGACCCACACAGTTAGATACATATAAACACATAGAAAATAAAAATAATAATCTAAAAAGAACCAGAAGAATTCTTTCTGCTTTTGGATATGTACAGGGGACTCACTCTAACCAGTAGGTAATTGTTGGCTGTACCTCAAGCATGCATTCTAAAGGGTGTGTCAATGCAAAAACACAACTCTCACCTCAAAGAGGATAATTGATAATTTATTTTGGAGCTTAGTATGAGTGACTGTGGCCCAGAAACACAGATTTAGGTTATCCCAAATTCCATGTTCCAAACATAGTAAAAATTTGATGAAGTTTTTATAGTAAGTAACAGAGAAAGAAAGTCACAAATCAAGGCATTTTTCAAATGCAGTTGGTAGAAATATTAGTAGGCAGGTTAAAGCAAAGCAGGGATATCTCTGCCATAGGCCTCAAATGATATCTGATGACCCTCTTAGCCTTTTGCTTGGTGGAAGCTAGTGGTCTGTTAATCATTCTAAAAGATTTTACCTATAAGTCATATGATGTTGGACAAGACACAGAGGTGGGCAAGGATGGCTATTGAAGGGCTAAAGACAGCCCAAGACAAATTGTAATTAGGTTCTGAATCTGCAATATTCCAGCCTCTTCACAATCCTGTAAGTTTTTGCCAGTGAATCAGCCTCGCAGAAGGTTCAATGGAAGGTGCAGTTCTCTTCAGAAATCTTTATTCTCAGGTAGTTCAGAGTCCTTAAGCATCTTTATATCCCAGGAATTAGTCTGTGTGAATCTAAGTCTTTTCCAGAACTCCTTCCAGATCAACCCAGGCTTGCTCCAGAAGTGTTATCTTGAGGGGACTCTTTCCAGCCAGGTGAGGGGGAACTAGTTCAGTGTCTTGAACCACAGATTTCATTTCTTCATTTGTCAAGTGGAAATAATATCTTCCTTATAGAGTTATTGTAGGAAGAACTTGAATCTTAGTAGCCTAGGAGTCTAGAAATTAATATATTTTAAGCAAAGGGGGTGTCAAAAGAAGGAGGATTTTAAAAAATAAAAATTGTGTTTATTGCGCAGTTGAATCTCAGGAACAAATTGGAATCAGGAATTTGAATGCTTTTGCAACTAGAAGAAAGACAGTGTAATGTGACAGTCAAGTGTCTTTGGGTCCAGTGGAAAGGTAGT